GGAGACTGTGAGTTCTAGTCTACTCTTGAGCATGGAAACCAGCTGGGTGACTTTGGGCCAGTCATACCGACTCAGCGTACCCACCTAACAGGGAGGTTGTTGAGAAAATAGGCAGTGGAGGCAGTCTGTGTTTGTGTGTGTGCATGCTTTGAGTTGTACAGAATAAATGTGGGATAGAAATTTTAATAATAATGTAAACACAGAATCCTTGCAGACATTCCCCAGCCAGCCACATTCAAGTGGTCCAGGGTGAGAAACCTTGCTCTAAAGCAAGAGTACCAAACTACTGGCCTGCGGGCCAGTTGCATCATACGGAGATCGCACCCACAGCTCTGGCAATGCAAAAAACGTCGCGATATGTCACAACACATCACGTGACATGGCAAGTTTGACAGCTATGCTCTAGTCCAGAGGTAGGCAACCTCAGTTCTTTTATGACTCATGAACTTCAACTCCCAGAATTCCTGAGTCAGCATGACTGGCTGGGGAATTCTGGGAGTTGAAGTCCATGAGACATAAAAGGGCCGAGGTTGCCTACCCCTGCTCTAGTCTAAAGGGTAAATCAGGAAAATATGCTAATTAGTAGATGGTCTCTTGGCTAGTCCAACTTTTCCTTGGCTTCCTCAGCATTGCTGAGAATTCTGGGAGTTGAAGTCCATATATCTGGAGGGTGCCAAGCTTTTAGAAAGCCAGGGTAGACATGGCAGATATCCCCTTGTCTGCCATGTCCACAGAGCAGGCGTAAAAATATCCAAAAAACCAACCAGGATTGGACCACTGAGACTGTGCCCATTTTTTATCGGCAAGGATGGGGCTTTGATTGCATGGCTGTGGCTGCCATCTTGATTCCTCCTCAATAACCACCTTCAGCCTTGTCCCTTGCTCCAGTGAAGGCCAAGATTGCCGGTTTGGTTTAGTGGTTAAGGCACCAGACTAGAAAGCCAGGGAGCATGAGTTCAAGTCTTGCCTTAGTCATGAAAGCCAGCTGGTAACCTTGGGCCAGTCACTCTCTCTCAGCCCAACTCACCTCACAGAGTTGTTGTTGTGGTGGGGAAAATAGGAGGAAGGTGTGTCGGGCATGTTTGCCTCCTTAAATTATGTGTAAAAATAATAAAGGCGAGATTTAAATAAACACACAAATAAAATAAATATCCATCCCAAGGACAAAAAGGAAGCTTCCCCATCTCAGATACCATTGTTTAGAAGACATAATTCAGTTAAGGTAACCTCCAACTGGGTTATTTTATTTCCCCTGAGTCCATTCTTTTTTTCCCCCACTGATAACATGACGATAATCTTACTTGAAAGATAACCTCTGTTCCTTGATTCCCTTGGATAGCAAACAAGTTATTGGAGTGACTTTCAGCCAATTGTTCTCTTTTAAGGTGTTGGAAGAAAAGTCTTCATCATGGTTCAGTCCAAGCTGGGGATAAACAACATGGCTACTGCTTTAGAAAGAAGGTTGCAGTTTATTGAAGAGGAGAGCCAGACAGAAAGATGGCTCTGGCAGAAAAGAGAGAAAAAGGGCTGAGCACATGAAGGGAGTGGGTTTTTATACCCTCTGGAGCCCTTTGTTTGGAGTTGCCTCCTGTTCCTGTTTTGAGACTTTGTATTTCCTGTGTCATGTATTTTGACCTGTGTCTCTTTGGCATCTGTAAGTTAATCCTATTATGACCTGTCTTAGACTTTGCAGGGGGGGGTGTGTTAATGTTGATTTTAGGTGTCTTTGTCTTCTTAATCTTCTAGCTGGGGCTTCCAACCTTCCTGGATGGTTTACATCTGCATTTGTACAGAGCTGGTTTCTACTTGGGGAAGGCAGACTTGGGGCTATTAAGAAAACTGGGCATGCTTTTCTGCCTCTTTAAAATCCTTTGAGGAAATATATTTTTCTGCCCTTTTAATATTTCCTTCTCTGGGGGGGGGGCTGACTTCCCACAAAGGCCCAACCGGCATGAAAATAACATAAAGGGAGATGACCTCCCCTTGTCATTTATGGGGACATCAACCTCTGAAAATGAAAAGCAGAATATAATGCAATAATAAAGGGTCCTGTACAGTTGGGGTTACTCCTGAGAGATAATTGATTTGCACTGTTCTTGTTTGTCCCTTCTACTTTTGAGTTGGGCCTGTTGGAAAACAATGCTCACCACCCCCATCTCATGTGACTAAAGAATGATGGAGCTTGTAGTCCCACCCCCCTGGAGAAGACTGGGGTGGAGAATAAAGACTGCATAGGCCAATGTTTCTTAACATTGGCAATTTTAAAGTGTGTGGACTTCAACTCTCATGGCTATCTGGGGAATTCTGGGAGTTGAAATCCACCCATCTTAAAATTGCCAAGGCTGAGGAACACTGGTATAGATTAAAACCTATTCATGGTTAGAAAACTATTCCAAGGCTGCAAACAGCAACTTCCCACATGGGGACAAAATGCAGCCCTCAGCTGCAGCAGTTTACAGCGGAAGCTGGGTGGATCAGAAACATAAAGATTCCCATTTGCTGCTCTGCAGCTCTAGTGGATTTGTGATCATCTGCATTATTAAAAATACCCAGGTTTAAGAAAAAGAGCGATTCATTTAGCACAGCACCAGGGGTGGGGGGTGGGGGGGTAACACATCCCTTCATTCAATTGCTATTTAGTTCTTCCACAAAGCTGAAAAAAGGGGTTTCTAAATCAGCCATTGTCTTTACAATGAAAGGGTGAGTTTAAATCAACTTGATGATCCAATAAATAGGTGCTTCATTCCACGGGAGATGAATGACAAGGGAGGATTTTACATTATCCAGGACATGTTGGCAGGCAGCCATGCTGGCTCAGGAATTCTGGGAGTTGAAGTCCACAAGTCTTAAAGTGGCCACGTTTGAGGATCCCTGGTTTAGAGGGGTTAGAGCTGGGATAGGCAACCTTGGCTCTTTTATGACTCATGGACTTCAACTCCCAGAATTCCCCAGCCAGCCATGCTGGCTCAGGAATTCTGGGAGTTGAAGTCCACGAATCATAAAAGAGCCAAGGTTGCCTACCCCTGGAGGGTCCACTCCTTTTGGTCCTAACTCCAGATTTTCAGCAGTGGGAGAAAAGTCCAAGGAGAGGGTGATGGCAGAAATCAAGCATGGCGAGGATATATGCAGGTATCAAAAAAGTCAAGATGGCAGCTACAATTGCATCATCAACCACCCACCTGCAGATATTGAAAGGCTTTGATTGGTTGGTTTCAGCGCCATCTTTACCGTTCTGACATTTTCCTCCACCACCACCACCGTGACCGAAAACGTCCTGAAACTGCAGAATCTCAGTCCCAGATCAAAAAATCTGCAGGATATCCTCCAGCATAAAATGAATAATTTTTCCAGAAATTAGCATTAGACACAAAATACAGGTAATCCTCAACTTAGGGCCACAAATGAGCCCAAAATTTATGTTGCTCAGCGAGAAGTTTGTGAAGTGAGTCTTGCCCCATTTTACGACCTTTCTCGCCACGTTTGTTAAGTGAATCACTGAACGGGTTAAATGAGTCACATGGTGGTTAAATGAATCTGGCTTCCCCCACTGACTTTGCTTGTCAGAAAGTCATAAAAGGGGGATCACATGACCCCGGGACAAAGAGAGAAACAACCTAGAACTAAGGAGAAATTTCCTAACAGTTAGAACAATTAACCAGTGGAACAACCTGCCTCCAGAAGCGGTGAATGCTCCAACACTGGAGGTTTTTAAGAAGAGACTGGACAGCCATTTTTCTGAAATGGTATAGGGTTTCCTGCCTGAGCAGGGGGTTGGACTAGATGACCTCCAAGGTCTCTTCCAACTTTACTACTACTACTACTACTACTACTACTACTACTACTACTACTACTATTATTATTATCTTTTATTCATTAGACAAGAACCTCAGTCAACTGAATATTCAAATTAGCTGGCGCTGATGGTTGACACGGATTGCTACCAGCATCCTAGGTGTCAACCAAGTACCTCCTTAAAATATAAGATGTTTGGAGTAGCACAGTTTTTTGTAACATTGCTGGAGTTATTGCACGAAGCTGCAGTTATTATTATTATTATTATTATTATTATTATTATTATTATTATTATTCAGGTGTCAAGCATCCGAATGTAAATCACCTGACCCTGGGGAGGCTGCAATGGTCATAAGTGTGAAACATGGTGATAAGTTATTTTTTTCATTGCCGTTGTAACTTTGAACGGTCACTAAGCAAACTGTTGTAAGTCAAGGACTACCTGCAAATATACCTTCTATTAATAATTACATTTTAATTTTTACATCACAGGACTGCTCCAACTTTGCCCATAGAGTAATTGGGGGTAATAATCTCCCGACCCATACTTTGGGAATTCCTGAAATTAGATTAACCTTGGTACTCTACCTAGTGATCAGGGTGAATATGGTAGTTTCAGAATCAGCTATTATGTTTAATAGTTATTCTCAGGGATGCGCATAATGGATATGGATAATTGTTTTCAATTAGGTTTGAAAGTATCCCAGGTTAAGGAAGACTGAGTAAATGTGCTTCAGTATAGAACAGGGGTTCAAAACCAGGGGATGCAAAACCTTGGGTTTTCAAAATTATAGTATATATGCATAATTCATTGCCGTTATTTCAAACTTTGGTAAGGGGTGTGAGAATATATCAGAAGCATTCTAGAGGTGCGGGATATAGAAAAGGTTGGGAGTCGCTGATATAGAACAATGTTTTTCAACCTGGACAACTTAAAGATGTATGGACTTCAACTCCCAGAATTCTACAGCCAGCATATAGGATTGGGCACAGGGACCGGCTCCGTGGAGAGAGGTTTTTCCATGAACCGGAGGGGGCTTGGTTTCACCTGCTGTCTGAATCCCAAAGATGGAGCTTTGCTTGTTTGCACGGCCCAGTTCCTGGCATGCCACAGCCCTGGCGGTTGGGGAACCCTGCTGCATGAAATAGTATCTTTTATTGTTAGTGTTTTTCTGACAAAGATGTTTGCTTACTTGGGTTTAAGAAAATGGCTGTGTTCACCCAACAGTCTTATCAGGCCAGAACAAGATTTAGCAACTGCACAGCCCACTAAATTCAGTTTAATCTTGGCTAGATGTTTGCTATGTGGTGTCAATCCACCTCTTCATTGCTCAGTGTATTGTGTGAAGGCAGGAAGCTGTTCAATGATCAGCTTACATCAATTTTGCTCTGCAGCCACTCAGGTTTTTGCAATTCTTTGCTCACTGTAGGTGCTCACGAATGCTAAAGCTACCCGGCTGTTGCCATATATACCAAAGGTGCAAGAAAGAGGAAAAATATAGCCCTAAGTGCTGTGCATTGAAAATGTTGTGAGCAAAAGAGCCCCTCCCCCACCGGTCTTCTTGGTGTCGTAGCCCCAATACATCAAGAGGACACCTGGTTGGGTAAAGATGGGGGTCCAGAAGGACACAGGACTATTCTGGCGCCCTTTCTCCAAAAGCCAGTCGTCCCCGCAGGTCACCGACTCCGCGCCGAGGAGGTAGCCGAGCCGCCTCTTTTCAACAGACAAGCAGAGGTAGACTGCCCTTGTGCAAGGAAGCTCCCCCGAAGGAGAAAGCCGAGAAGAGCCAGTCGCCGCGGAGTGGTTCCCATCCCGACTTCTTGCGGAGCGAGTCGGCAAAACAGGGGTCCTTGGGAAGCAGCAAGACCTCCGGCGCCTTCTTCGCCAAGGGGGGTGCTTTGCATTCTCGAGAAGCGGAGAGCTCAGAGAGGCCAAAGGTCTGAGACCGGCCCCCTCCCTCCGTAAAGACGACCCACCTCTCTCCGTTTCCACTGGTTCTTCCCTTCCCACGTGAAGAGAGAGAGAGAGAGAGAGAGAGAGAGAGAGAGAGAGACTCGAGCGGCGCGGGGGGGGGAGCGCTGGGAAAGAAAAGCCACCCCCATCCAGACCCGCATCTTCGCTCCCGTCTTATTGCTCGCCCTCCCAGCCTGGCCGTGCCGCATTCGCTCTTCGCTCCGCATCAACCTGCTCGGGAGTTGCCGCCTCGCCAACGTCCCTCCACCATGATCACCCCAGCACCGCATCAGGGTGAGCCGCCCCCTCCCACCCCCGCTCCGCAGGCAGGCAAGGAGGGGGCCACCGGGATTCCCTGGAGGGGGGAACCCCCACCTCGCTCCGCCAGGCGGGCAGCCCATCCATCCATTCATTGCGGGGGGCTAGTGAGCAAAAGCGGGGAGAGGAGAAGGGGGGCCTGGAGCCTCATTTTTTTTGGGGGGGGGGCAATTCGGATCACTCCACATCCGCATTATAGGCGTCTTCTTCTCCAGAATCCCGGGGGGGGAGGGGTGAGAGAAGAAGTGGCATTTAGGCACCTCTGCGGGAGTTAATCCGGAGGAAGCCTCGCGCTCTCTCCGAATGGCCGGAGTCGCGGGATGCTCCTTTGGCCGCTGCTCCGAAGCCATTCCGAAGCCTCTCCGGAACGGAGCCTGCGAATAGCGCGCTTTTCCATTTGGGTGGGTTTTTTTTTTCTCTTTTATTTATTTATTTTTATTTTGGTTTTTTTTTTTTAAAGGCCGATGTTTGCATGCTAATCCCTGCCTGTAGTTTTTCTTCCCTCCAATTCCTTAATTTGTTTTTTTTGGGGGGGGGTTACCCCCTTTTCCCGCAACTTCGCAGCTTTTTTAAAAAAATAAAATCTCTGCAACTTTCCGTTGTGCCCCTGGAGGGGTGGGAACGGTCGCTTGGGACTGAGTGGCGGCTTTGCAGACCTGGCTTAGGTGTGGCTTGCCTATCATGGCTTACCTAATGGCCTCGGGGCGTGGGTCCGCGTGGTGCAATGACCCGTAACTGGGGTTTCCCTGGGATTGGCTTGTGTGGAGCTCTGTGCTGGGCAGATCTCTGTCATTGGAGGGGCCCTTCCCAGCAAAAATAGGCAAAATTATGGATCAATACAAGCACCCAAACGATGTTCACACGACATATTTAACCAAATCAATTAAAGACTGACTGCTGTTTTTGCTCACTGGGCTAAACTGGGTTAATTCTTTTGCACCTTAGCGTCTGGCTTGTCAGATGACCATTCAGTGTTTTATATAGAAGCAGACCATGGGTTCATTCAAAAACTGGGTTATGCATGTTGTCGGTATGCAGACAAGTTGTGTGCAGACAAGCAGGGCTTATGCAGTGAACCCTGGGCAGGTGTGCCTAGTGGTGTATGTGTGTGCAAATGCATATAACTACTTACTTAAAAAAAAAATCTGAGGATGCTTAGCTGTTTGTTTGTTCACAGGTAGCTGCAAGAGAGGCAGGTGTGCGGCGGTAGCTTTCACCTTCCGCTGGCACCTCCAGGGAATTGCTGCAGGGGCTGGATGTGTTTGCAGGCACACACTGCAGAACTGAACAGCCTGAAGTCATTTCTTCTGCAGCTGCTGTTTGACTGACAGGCCCACAGATGCTGCCAAGAGCAGAGGCTGGAAGTGGAGGGAGGAGGGGAGGTAGACACACCTTGATGGCACTTGGTTTCCAAAATGAGGAGATGCCCCCACCTGTTTGGGCAGAGCCAGGCATATGGGGCTCAGCCTTGGTCTGTGCGGCCTGCTCCCAGCGCCAAAGTGATGGTTAGGTTTTCGCTGGGGGGGGGGGGTAATATGAGAGTTGAAGAGACCAGAGGCAGTTGCTAGCTGATTTGGTAGAGAAGTGAGCTGCACTTATGAGGAAGGTGCATAGGGCAGCATGCACAGGGAAGGATTCCCTTAGGAATCTGGCATGATGGGCTGAACTGACTGGGCTCAAGGTGGACTCAGCCTTCCATCCTTCCAAGGTCAGTAAAATGAGGACCCAGATTGTTGGGGGCAACAGGCTGACTCTGTAAGCCGCTTAGAGAGGGCTGTAAAGCACTGTGAAGCGGTATATAAAGTCTAAGTGCCATTGCTATTGCTATCTTCTGCACGGGCCAATACATTTTTATCCCAGAGATGCTTTTTCACGAGGCAACTGGACTTCCTTGTTTTTCTTTGAAGATGTTTCGCTTCTCATCCAATGTCTTCAAAAGAAAGACAAGAATAAGTCCAGTGGCCTCGTGAAAAAGCATCTTTGAGATAACTATGACCTGGAGGACTGAGAATCTCCATGGAGACCAACACGTTTGCCTGTACCTGCAGAGCTTCAGTGCAGGTAGAAAATTAAGCCCCGACTGAGGAAGCTGCAAGCAGCTAGACCAGGGATTCTCAACCTTGGCAACTTTAAGACTTGTGGTCTTCAACTCCCAGAATTCCTCAGCCAGCAAAGCTGGCTGAGGAATTCTGGGAATTGAAGTCCACAAGTCTTAAAGTTGCCAAGGTTGAGAACCCCTTAGCTAGACTGTGATATCCAAATCAAGGAATCTTCTTTTGCAAGCTAGGATACAATCCACAATGTGCTTGGAAACCCAATCTGTGCTGCCTGCGTTGTGATTCATGCTTTGATGAATGGTATTTTATCGCCCTTCCTATCAGGAGAGTTGAACAGGCCAGAAAAATCAAAGCTGGCAAATGGCTTTGAACGGCAGACGGGGGTAGGTGGGACTCTAGAAAATGAAAACCGCAATTGGCTGCACCTCCGAGGTTTCACCCAACCAAACTCTACCCGTTCCTGTTCAGATCGGGTGCAGTCGTATCTGTGTGCATAGAATCTGCTGTTTGTATGCCTTTGTGAATGGTGTTCTTGCTGGCTTGAGTTTTCATGGAGTGGGTGTTTGTGAAAGAACGAAATCTGGGCTCCTCTCTGTGTGTGTCTCAGTTTATATGACTTACTGCCTATTTTGGGGTTGGTCCAGCAGCTTGAGCAGGTTCTCTGGAGAGTTAGAGTGATACTCGTCAAGCCCCAGTGTTCATTGTTTATCTCCTAAGTGAGACATTGCAGGGGAACATAAAGACATAAAGACACCACACGTCTCTTGAATACGTCTCGGTGAGGTGACTGAACATTCGATATCCATGGGAGGAGAGCCTCAGGCAGTCTTTGGTCTGAGATGGAAAACATCAGTGACTGCATTCTCACAATAGGCTATCCCAAGGATGTCAAACTGCCAGGCCATGGGCCGGATGCATCACGCCGAAACCGCGCCCACCTCATTGCCGGCAGTGGGGAAAAAGTTGCGATATGTCATGTGACATTGCAAGTTTGACATGCCTGGGCTATCCCATTACATGATCTGCTTGTTTTTATTATTTATTTATTTATCAAATTGCCAATTTCCCCCATAGGGTGCACAATAAATAAAGCAGTCACTATAGAACAGATAAAAATCTAAAACTCACAGTTGCCCAAAACTACCTCTTCTGCTTTGCAAACCACTGTTAATGGCATAGTGTGCTATGGAAATCCAGATGGTTGTGGTCTTTTCAAGAATTTGTGGGTTACAAAATTAGGTTTTTATCCCCACAATTCATTTTTCAGACATTATCTGTGAGTATAAATGTGCACATTTTTTTCCAAATGATGCATGGTTATGGAGAATATTGGGATTGTGCGAACACAGTCCATCTTCACACTCACAAATTCATTAATTCCATATTGGTGGGGCCATTGAATTTATTATACTTAGGAAGGGTCTGCTGCCTTTGACACTGGAAGGACTTTGGAGCCTCTGATGTTAGGAGCCCCCCCCCCCCCGGCATGGCCCCAGTTATATCAGAATGAGGGGGGACATGATAGCAGTGTTCCAATATCTCGGGCTGCCACAAAGAAGAGGGAGTCAAGCTATTTTCCAAGGTGCCTGAAGGCAGGACAAGAAGCAACAGATGGAAACTAATCAAGAAGAGAAACAACCTAGAACTAAGGAGAAATTTCCTGACAGAACAATTAACCAGTGGAACAACCTGCCTCCAGAAGTTGTGAATGTTCCAACACTGGAAGTCTTTAAAAAGAGATTGGACAGCCATTTGTCTGAAATGGTATAGGGTTTCATGCCTGAGCAGGGAGTTGGACTAGATGACCTCCAAGGTTGTTGTTGTTGTTGTTATTGAAGTCTTATTTTATTTATTTATTGAATTTTCATGCTGCCCTCTTACTAAAAGATTTAATGGCCAACTAGGATAACTAGTCACAGAGTGGATAAGTTGCAAGGGAACATATCTACTCATGACAAAAGTGTGGCTACATTCACATGTCACCCATAACTTGGCTCCAGTATTAACCTACTTGCTGGGTTTGTATAGTACAATCCATCCATCTGTAAACTAGCCAGTTGATTGGTCTCACAGAGCAAGCCCAGCCACAGAAATGTGCCCCTAGGACAGTGTTTCTCAACCTTGACAATTTTAAGGCATGTGGACTTCAACTCCCAGAATTCCACAGCCAGCATTGTCAAGGTTGAGAAACACTGCCCTAGGACAAACTAACCATGCTTGCTATGTTGTAAGATGGTATCCACTAGTTTTTAACTATCCTGGCGAAACATCACCTGTTTACATGTCCGTGATATGTAATCCTTTTTATTTTTAGGTAAGATGAAAAAGGAAAGAACTGTGCATGTAATGTACTACTGCTTCATCAGTCATTGGTCTCTGTGTATTTAAGGCAGTGTTTTCAACCTTGGCAAGTTGAAGATGTGTGGACTTCAACTCCCAGAATTCCTCAGCCAGCATGAAGTCCACAGGTCTTAAGGTTGCCAAGGTTGGAGACCCCTGGTGTACACACAGGATGTATAAGCTAATATAGGATGTCAAGCAAGGTACTCTAATCCTCTTAAGTTGATTCTAGCCTTAGAGAAATGCTTCTTCCTGACACCATGGTCATTTCATACATTATGTAGAGAGAAACCTGGCTTGGAGTCAAACTACATGATTGCAGAACCTGATTTCTGAAATAACCCATTCTTTAAGCCAATGGTTCTCAGCCTGTGGGTCGGGACCCCATTTGGGGTCGAACGACCATTTCACGGGGGTCGCCAAACAACGCAGTCTGCCATTTTTTTCCCCCTTTTCCTTAGCTGTGCTACTCCCTTTTATTCTATTGGCTTTTGAAAGCCAATAGAATAGACTCTCTTGAATATAATTCTATTGGCTTTCAAATGCCAATAGGAATTGTCCAGGCTGTCTCTGCCCTGC